TGGTCATGGTTGTTGGAGGTCAATCATCTCAGCTCCAGGGCATCTCTGTAGGTATTCCTCAGGGTAGTGTCCTAAGCCCAAACATCATCTGCTGCTTCGTCCGTGACCTTTCCTTCATCATAAGGTCAGAAGTGGGGATGTTTGCCAATGATTACACAGTGGTCAGCACCATTCACAATTTCTCAGATATTGAAACAGTCCATGTTCAAATGCAACAAGATCTGGACAATATCCAGACTGAGGTTGACAAGTGGCAAGTAACATTCGCTCCATGCGAATACCAGGTTATGATAATCTAATCACCGCCCCTTGACATTCAATGGTATTACTATACTGAATTCTCCCATTTTCAACATTCTGGGGGATACCATTGACCAGAAACTCAACTGGATTCACTATATAAACACAGTGGCTCCAAGTGCAGGTCAGAGACTAGGAATACTACAATGATTAACTCACCTCCTAACTCCCCAAAGCCTGTCCTTCATGTACAAGGCACAAGTCAGGAATGTGATTCAATCCTCCCACTTGCCTGGATGGGTGCAGCTCCAACAATGAGCAAGAAGGTTGACACCATACTGAACAAAGCAGCCTGCTTGACTGGCACCACATCCACAAACATCCACTCCGTCCACCATGGATGCTCAGGAGCAGCAGTGTGTACTATCCACAAGATGCACTGCAGGAATTCTCCAAAGATCCTCAGACAGCACCTTCCTAACCCAAGAAGACTTTTATCTAGAAGGACAAGGGCAACAGGTATGTGGGAACTGCAAGCTCTCCTCCAAGCCACTCACCATTCTCACTTAGAAATATATCGTGGTTCCTTCTCTATCGCTGGGTCAAAATCCTGGAATTCCCTCCCTACTGGTGTTGTGGGTCAACTCACAGCAGGTGGACTGCAGCAGTTCAAGAAGGCAGCTCACCACCAACTTCTCAAGGGCAATTAAGGACGACAACTAATGTTGGCCAGCCAACGACACTCGCATCGCATGAATGAATAAGAAAAAAGATCCTCCAGTTTCCTGTCTGTAAAACAAGTTGCCAATTTATCCTTTTCTGTCATGGTTTGGACAAATGCTACAAAGCATGCAGAGCAGCTCTAACTAACAGTGCTTTTCTGTGTGCACAATGGCCTTTTAAGGTGATGCTTATGCCAGGGATGCTGGTGCATTCCAGAATAACCTGGCAGTAGTGAGTTCTTTTGTGTATGAAATATGGTAGAATTAGGCTAGCATCAAACAAAAGCGTTGATGCAGTAGTGGAATAGTTAGTTAATGAGCAAGTCTAGGATGATATGATGAGAAATCTAACTAAGCTTCATAGAGATAAATGCTTCATGAAACTTGACAAAATTGACACTTAGCCAAAATATGATAAGATTCCGTCCAAGGTGTCTCTCTCTCTCTCTCTGTCTTCTGTGAAGTAACCAAAACCTGAAAGGTAGCTAGCAATTCTCTCTCACAAAAAAAAATCAATATGTTCAGAGATGTTATTACATACCTCTGCAGCAGGATGGACTTGGACCCAGGGAAGCTTTTGCTTCTAACCAAAACTGCCCTGTGTCTTCAGCAAAAGTCTGAAAGAATCTGGAAATGAGGACACTGTGGATCTGAAGGATTCGGAAGAGAAGCCTCATGTAATTCTGAGGACTGGTCTTATTCAATTGTACTTTTTCTTCCACCAAAGCTTCCATGTTCGCTTATTTCTCTGTGTCTGCCACAGAGAAGAGGACATTGTCACCTTGCTTTGTGGACAAGAATATGGAGGGTCTGTGGATGATGTTGTGCAGAGGACAGCTACGATCTTCCCTGAGGACTGGCGGTGGAGGCCACAACACTAGATCCTGCCAGCCTGGGCCAAAGTTGACATCCAGGTCAGTGTGGTCTCAGCTGTCTGGGGGAATGCCAATGACAGCCTCTGCTCTACCAGAGTTAAGTGCCACAACTTTCTCTCTGTCTCTCTGCATATGTGTGTTGCATTTTAAGAGGGGGTTAGAATTTCAGCTAGTGAAGTTAAATGTTGATTATTCATATTTTTGTTTGACTGTGCTTAGACCTTATGTCTTTGTAATAAGTAGTTGTTTTTGTTGAGCGCAAGAACCTGGTCGGTGTTTTCTATTAACTTGGATACTTTCAGAATAATTTGATGAAATCTTTAACTTTTGGGATGACCTCACAGAGTGATGGAGTCAGATAACAGTGCTCTTTCCCAGGTGGGTCATGACATGGCAATATGATAATGTCCAGATAATCCATTTTTTTGTGATGTTGATTGAGGGATGAATATTTGCCACATGACCAGGTTCCCTATTTCTTTGTTGAAATAGAGCAATAGATCTTTTACATTCATCAAAGCCAGCTGTGGCCTCAGAGATAATGATAGTAATAGTCTTCAGGAGGGCATAAGCTATTAAATGTGAAAATGTAATTTAATGCTATGAAGTATGAATGATGTGTTTGATAGAAAGATGTGGAGAAACATCATTAAGTAAATTATGCAATTTAAATTAGGTGGAAGAACTGGCAGTGTACACACAAATCTTTGAAGATGGGAAGATATAAGATGTATCTTATTTGCATTTATGAACAAAGGCATAAATGTATGGTACTTCTGTGATTCTTCAGCTTTGTCCCATTTGTTTTTACTGAAAACATTTTTGACTGAAAGTTTAACCTTTAACTAACTGAAAATAATTCAAACCCTTCAGATCACATCCTTTCGCCGTTGGCCTACCCCAAGGTAGTTAACTTACTGGTAATGCCTTTCTTTTCATGCTCGGCCATCGATACATACTGGCCAGGTTTCAAGCTTAAGGTGGTAAAGGTACTTGATTGTAACATCTGAACAGGTTGACACAGCACTACGGTGCTCTTACTTCATACTTTTTGGCCACACATTCTCTGAATCCTTATTCTTTGCCATCTTTTGTGTGTTCTTCTGGAGTAGTGAACCATGTATATTAAGTATAGAACCAATACCAATTGAGCAATAACCAAAACATGAAAAATGGTCCTGCATTATTGATCCCCAGTTTCACAGATCCTCCCACCAAGTGGTGGTTTCAATAAGGTTGCCTGTCATATTTTAAAAATTCTGTTGAGTGCATAGAGTCTACCTGTCTGACATCGTCAGCCAGTGACCTAGCTTGTTTCTGCAGAGTGTAATAAGATCCATGCATTCACAGGGCCTCAATTTGAATACCTGTGAAGTTGTGGTCTCCAACATATAGCTTGTAATTGATTGGTTGGTTGGAGTTTTTTTTTTTGCACAGAATCCCTACAGTGTTGAAACAGGCACTTCCGCCCAACAAGTCCACACCGACCCTCCGAGCATCCCACCCAGATCCATCCCCTATATCACACCTAATCTACACATCCCTGAACACTACAGGCAATTTAGCATGGCCAGTCCACCTAGCTTGCACATCTTTGGACTGTGGGAGGAAACTGGAGCACCCAGAGGAAACCCACGCAGACACAGGGAGAATGTGCAAACTCCATACAGACAGTTGCCCGAGGGTGGAAGTGAACCCGGGTCCCTAGTGCTGTGAGGCAGCAGTGATGGCCACTGAGCCATCGTGCTGCCCATTCTGACAGCCAATCTCACTGCTTATCCACGTTTCCTCAAAATGCACATCTCTAACAGTTGATCTCACCACCGCCTGCATTTTCTCACGGTGTGCATATCAGTTGTCATGCCACTGCATGAGTTCCACTTCTGGACACTGTGTAGCTAGAGAAAAGTGCATATTTTTAACAGGTTTTGCCAGCTTGTTGCATCGGTTTCATTTTGGTCCAGGTGGAGTATCATTGTGGAGTAAAGTAAGTTTTCTGGTAGCAATGCAAACAAATGATTAAGAAATATACTAGGAACTGATGCGTGAAGCAAGTATATTATACAACTAGAAACACTATTCAGCCCATCATGTCCATATGGACTTTCTGCAAGAATAACTGAGCTAGTCCCACTCCTTTAACTAGTCTGTGTAAACTGGCAGATTTTTTTCTTCACTGCTTGCCTAAGAGCTCCATGCAGGATGAAGAAAGATTAGGAGGAATGCTGGTGCGCTCCACATTCAACACCTGGATAGTGCAAGCCAACCAGGAGCCCAGGAAACACATTGCAAATAAGTGATCTCCTGTGTCTCTACACTCAAACAGCCAACAACAATCGGAATAGTCAAGAGGCATGGATCCAGAGGCCTATGTGCAGCATGACCAATGACAGAGTGATGTCAGAAATTACAAGGTGAAGCAGTAATATAAAAAGGGATATTTTGAATGAAACCTCATAACAATGCTGAGTGAATTCAAAGATTGTTTTACAAGGAAAAACTGGCATCAGACAAAGGAAGATGACGAGCTGAAGGCTGTTTTGAAAGCTCAGTGGTAATTATTTTTCCTAAACCAGCAGCACCAAAACATCATTTCGCATTTTCTCCATCTGATAAAACTCCAGAAATGATTTGCAGATAGCTAAGTCATTTAAGAGGCAGTTAAGTCACTGAACCATAGGTCTACCTTATCATCAGAGATAGAAAGAGACATCTAGTGGAGGTTTAACCTAATGGTCACCATGCATCAGGAGAGGGGGAGAGGATGAGAAGAAGAATCCTTCATGGTAATCGCAGCCAGATCAGGAATTGAACCCATGGCTTTGGCATCACTCTGCATGGCAAACAAGCCAACTGAGCTAACCGACTGTCTCATAGCAATAACTGCCACCACTGATTCTTTATTCAAAGATTTTAGCAACAAAGAAGACAAACAATGGCAAAGAATGTCACTTGTGCCTCCACAGTAGCAAGGCATGTAGAATCTTTGCCTGACTACATCTTTCAGCAGCTCTGGGAGACTTGAAGGATTGTGAATGGTTCTCACTGCAGATTGATAAACCCATAGGCATGACCGGCACAGCCAAGCTGATTATTTTTGCATGCATGGTTTTTAATGACATGACAACTAAAGAGGATCTTCTCCTCCTTTTTCCCTCTTAAGGAGAGAACAGAGAGTGAAGATATCTACATCAAATTCAAAAGGTACGTGCTTGAGAGAAACGTTGAAAACAAGAAACTGGTTTACCTTACAACTGATGGTGTACCAGCCACACTTAATACAGTTGTGAGCTTTATTGCATTTTGCAGAAATGATCCTGATTTCCCCTTTATTGTCACTATTTTACCACTGTACAATCCCCCAGCAAGCATTAACAAGTAAAATTTTGTGAAACATTTAAGATTGCAAACTCAATTCAAGCAAGATCTCTTCAACACTGCTTGTTTAAATCCTTATTTGATGAACTCACTGCTGCCTACTGTGAACTAATCTTCCATGCTGGTGCAAGTTGGTTAAGTTGAAGGAAGGTATTGCAAAAACTTTTAGATTCAATGCCTAAAATCACCAATTTTCTTAAATCAAGGAATGAAGTGTGCAGTGAGCTGTCAGACAATGTGTAGTTGCTTGATTTCAAATACCTTAATGTCATAACGTCAAAACTGAAGAAGCAGACTGTGAACTGAAGGGGACTTGGCGTATCTGATCAGTGCTTTGAATGCATTTAAGTTCAAACTGATTCTGTGGTCCTCCCAATTAAAAAAAAAATGCAAAAACACACACGTGTATGGAGAAAATACAATTTAAAAAAACAAAGAAAAATGGTTCCAATCAGAAAAATGCACACCTCAGGAAGTTAGCAGGGGAATTCAACATAGGATTACAGGCATTAAGTAAGATGAAACAAATTGTCATGTTTGTCTCAAATTCATTCTTTCAAGTAGATATAGGTAGAATTTATAGCCAATCTACCAGATTCTTTCATTTACGTGGCAGTGGAGTTGATATGGAGATAATTAATGTACAAAATGATATTGAGCTGAAAGTGAGATTTCATCAGACAGCGATTTGTGGGGACATAGATAAATATCTATTCCTATCATCTTGTGTTTTTAAAGTAAAAGCTTGCTTTGAAACCACTTACCTTTGTGAGACAGCAGTCTCCCAAACGAAAATAAATCCAAGTATCTCACCTACCTCACTTGATACCCATATGATGATGGACTGTGTGCAACTATCAGTCTCAAACTACAACTCAGACTTCAGGACACTTTCAGGTAATGTCCTGTCACAGGTGTCACACTGAGACTTGGTAAGTAGATGACAAATGAACATTTATATAAATTTGGTTTTAGATATATGTAGCTGTAAAATAAACTGTTTATTCTATATTTATTTTAGGGTAGATCTTGGGTTGCATTTAAATTCAAAAAGTGATCTTGTGCTTAAAAATTAGAGACCTCTGCTGTAAGGTTTTCAAGCAACAGTGGGATTACATAGGAAAATGGGCTCAGACTAAGTGCAAGGTTTTCCCTGATGTCTTCCTTCACCTGTAGTTAACTGTTTCCCCATAGATTTCCACCAATTTTCTGATCCAAGCCAATACTTTTCGGTAGAAACACACCACATGACTGGTTAATATTGTTCTCATATTGGTGCTGTAAAGACTGAGCTTTATTGCTCTGTACTTTACATTGTGGACTGAAGTGGGAAGAAAACTATTTTAAAAGTCAAGGATTGTTGAAGGACTGTTTCATATTTTTAAAAGCAAGTTTCCCGACAGCTATTTCTAAGTGCTGTTTACAAAGTTGTTGCTTCAAGTAGTGGGGAAGCCTAGTTACAGACAAAGTGGAGCTACCGAGCTGTGCACAAATGAAGATTTGACTCGCAATAAGTGGTTGATCGGACTGTGAAATGCTAGCCAGTTATCAATCAACAGCTATATGATTGTCTCCCAAATAGCTGAACACTTTAGGAGTCTAATGTTCAGGGCAGAAGCCATCAGACTTCTGGAAGGGAAGGATCTGATTTTGGTCTGGAGTAAAGAATTTCTCAAGCCTGAAGATAGTTTAATTTCCCTCATCAGTTGCTATAAACTGTGACTTTTATTAATAAGTCAGATACCTTTTAAAAGTGTGAACCAGGCACATTGTCTCTCCTGTAAACAAGTGAAAGCATCTGGAGAAGGAAGATCAGCAAGCAGCATTCTCGTAGAAGAACTCGTAGAATCACTACAGTGTGGAAACGGGCACTTCGGCCCAACAAGTCCACACCGACCCTCGAGGTATCCCATCCAGACCCATCCATCTAATCTACACATCCCTGAACACTATGGGCAATTTAGCATGGCCAATCTACCTAGCCTGCATAAATTTGGACTGTGGGAGGAAACCAGAGCACCAGGAGGAAACCCACGCAGACACACGGAGAATGTGCAAACTCCACACAGACAGTCGCCCGAGGGTGGAATCAAACCCGGGTCCCTGATGCTGTGAGGCAGCAATGCTAACCACTGAGCCACCGTACCGCCCATTCTGGCAGTCAATCTCACTGCTTATCCAGGTTCTCTCAACATGCACATCTAATTGGTAAAAGAATCATCTCAGCAAATCCTGTGGACAGAAACCACTTAACTGCCTTCCTAGTCTTTCTCTTCACCCTTAACACCCATTTCTTTTTGTATCTGTCTGTACATATGTTTAGGGTAGCGTTAAGGGAGAGTTTTAACAAGTAGAGTTATATGTTGACAGTTTATAATTGTTTATTTACATTCTTCCTCACATGCGCTCTAAACCACCTGCCTCTTAAATTTGTACCACTTGGTGATTGATTGCTCCACCAAGAGAAAAAGTCCCTTCCTGTCTGCTCTATCTATGCCCTTCATAATTTTGTTCATCTCAGTCATGTCCCTGCTCAGTCTCCTCTATTCCAAGGCAAATAATCCCTGTCTGTCCAATTTCTCGTCATAACTAAAACTCTCTATTCCAGGCAATATCCTGATAAGTCTCCTCTGCTCCCTCTCCAGTGCAATCACATCCCTCCTATAATGTGAATTCCAGAACTGCGCACAAGTTCGAGCTGTGGTCTAACCAATATTCAATTCCAGCATAACCTTCCTGCTCTTAAACTCTCTGCCTCAGTTCATAAATGCAAGAATTCCATTTGCCACTTTAACCACTTTATCTACCTGTCCCAGTACCTTAAAGAAACAGGGGGCATGCACACCAAGGCCCCTCTGATTCTTGGTGCTTCCCAAGGCTCAATGTTAATCCTGTAATCCCGTGCCTTATTTATCCTGCCCAAGTGCATCCCCTCAAACTTATCTGGATTGAATTCCATTTGTCACTAATCAACTCATTTGACCTTCCTGTCTATATCCTCCTGTAAACTACCACCCCATCAAATTTTATACCATCCGTGAACTTACTGAGCAGCTGTTCCAGTTTCAAGTCATAGTCATAGAGTTGTACAACACGGAAACAACTTCAGTCCAACTTGGCCATGCCGACCAGATATCCTAAATTAATCTAGCCCCATTTGCTAGCATTTGGCCCGTATTCTTCTAAACCCTTCCTGGTCATATACCCATGCAGATGCCTTTTAAATGTTGTAATTGTACCTGCCTCCACCACTCCCTCTGGCAGCTCATTCTATACATGCACTACCATCTGCATGAAAAAGGATGCCAGTTAGGTCCCTTTTATATCTTTCCCCTCTCATTTTAAGCCTATGCCATCTAGTTTTGGACTCCCCTAAACTGAGAAAAAGATCTTGGTTATTTACCCTATCCATGCCCCTCATGATTTTATAAATCATTATAATTATAAAGATTTTATAATTTATAAGATCAACCTTCAGCCTCCAATGCTCCAGGGAAAATAGCTCCAGCCTCCTCAGCCTATCCCTGTAGCTCAAGTTCTCCAACCCCAGCAACATCTTTGTAAATCTTTTCTGCACCCTTTCAAGTTTCACAACATCTTTCCTGTAACAGGGCGACCAGAATTGAATGCAGTATTCCAAAAGTGGCCTAACCAGTATTTCTGTATAACTGCAACATGACATCCCAAATCCTATACTCAGTGCACAGACCAATAAAGGCCAGCATACCAAGTCTAAATTATTTAAGTATACCACAAAAAGCAAACGCCCCAACACCGATTCCTGTGGATCCCCACAGGACACATTTCCCTCAATCATCAGCCTCTGCTTCCAGCCACTCTGGCAATTGTGAATCCAGTTAGCCAAATTTCCTTGGATCCCAGGGGCTCTTACATTCATTGTCAGTCTCCTATGCGAGCCCTTATCAAAAGCCTCACTCAAGTCAAGCATTAAATATGTTGCCCTCATCAACTGCTCACTTCTTTGAAAAATTCAAAGTCATCAGAATGGCCTCCCCTCAGCAAAACCATATTGACTGTTCTTGATTAATCCCTGTCTCTCCAAGTGCAGATTAATTCTGGCCCTCTGAATTTCTTCCAATAGTTTTTCCGCCACTGAGGTGGACTGACTTGCCAGTAATATCTTGGTTGTTAAAGAAAAGTGACAACACAGGCAGCCAGTGGCTGCATTCCCATTTCAGGGAAAGGGCCGACTGAAACACATCCCTTCCTCACTTCATGAATAACGGTACCACTTTGGCTGCCCTCCAGTCCTCTGGCATCACTCCTGTGGCCAGAGAGGAATTGAACATCATTGCCAGCACCCTGCTATTTCTTTCCTTGCCTCACTTAACAGCCTAGGATATATTTATAATAAATAGTAATTTTTGCTAAGTACAGAAACTTGATTCATGCTTTTTGTCAATCTGGCTCTAAAAGACAGGTGAATAGGGGAATCCTACATACTTTTAAAAATCTTTAACATCTTTCCAACTCTGGGAATAGTGGCCTTAATTTCCAATGCACAACCCCAGTCAGTCATGACAGTTCTCCTTTTGTAACATGGGAATGCATCTCCCTGTACCCAGATATGTAATTTGAATTGGTACCAGTCCAGCCCACATAGCTTCCATTATATAGTTGGTTTTACCACTAAACCATAATTTGATTCTTCTGACTCATAGTAGATGTTAACACAATACCGGAGAGGCTTGTACACTACGTCTACCTAAAGTGGTGCTTACCATGTTACCTCATACCTCTACAGCAAGTGATAGTATGGTAGGGTATGCTACGTAATTATCTCCCCTCATTTCACTGACATGCTG